GCCTGTAATTTTTATTTTTTTGATTTTTAGCTATCTTTTTACAGGCTGGTTATTATTAACCAACTGGTTATTATTATATTGTTACACATCCTTTCACATGTATGACGTTCAAATTTCGTGTAGCTAGCACTTTACTTTCTCAAGTTATGACTAAAATTAATCTTAAAAACATGTTGCTTCCTGCCCGACTCGATCAAGCTACTCCCYGCTGCCTCCAGTCTCCTCAAACCCCACCGTCAATCCGACCAATCACGTCTCGGGCCGTCTCTGCCCAYATCGAAACCTCCGCCAATCACGAGTAGGGCCGTCTCCGCCCACATCAAGACCTCCGCCAATCACGAGCAGGGACRTCTCCGCCCACAGGACAAAACCTACTGCAGAGRCCCCTTACTCTTCCKTGAAGGAATGTAGGTTGCCCACCATTTTTTATGTCAATCGACTACGATCACCCTTTTTGATGAGAAATAACAGTTTCCAWTTTTGGTCCTTAGTGTGACTTCATCTATAATGTYGTAATATTGTGAGATGTCACACTGTGAGTACTGWATGTGTTGTGGATGACTTTCGCYTAYGACCAYACTAAATTTTAGCACAATATCCATGAAATCGACTTAAAGRGCTAGTATTACGTGTTTCTTAGGCATGTAGTTCAACTCTATACCATAATAAAGTAACTTTCACCTTCAGTTGTTTTGAAAATGCTGTTTATATGTGTAAATCAAAAATAAATTTGTCTTAACATCATAGCTGTTTTTAAACACCTTGAAATTGGTCTCTGACTCTTTAAGAATAGTGCCTCTGCCASGCTCATTTCTGCACATCATCACAACAGCTTCATACCGTTTACGACCTAGAGTGYCGTAGCCTACTTTGTTGTAATAACAATAAAAAAGCAGCAACACTGTACAATATTGGTTTTGGAAAATGGCAACTTAGGAAAAACCTTTAACYTTAYMGTYSGACCGGAAAGTAGGTTTTCTGAAGAACCAGACCASGTAGAGGGAAGACGTTTCAGCTGGTAAGATCTCATCCTCACAATGTCAAGCTACTTTATTTTTTACTGAAATGTGGTGTAAACGAACTAAAGAACACAGATCATAATATAAGTTATGAATGATAACCTTAGATCACAGTTGGACCAAACAACTGAACAAAACAACGTGCGTTGTTTTTCAGCTTACCTKGGCAGGTGACAACGGTGTTGTGTACTTCTGAGTGTTGAAATCACATTGTCTTTTAGWGATAATCTTATTAGTTCACTGTTAAATTCCCTWTTGTCCAGAAAGCTATCATCTGTAAAGTGGCTCGCAGAAATATATAAACAAATTTATTTTTTCCGTCGGATGGTTACTTCCAAAAATAAAATCAAACATTTTTAAGAACTGGTCATCGTTGGCATCCAAAAATCCATTTCCTCAAAGGCATTTTCTAATCTGAAAAGGACTGGACTAAAGTATTATGAGCTCAGCAGATGTGTGGTTTCACCAGTTGTTTGCTAGTTGTTGCTGCTGATAGTCTGCAGGAACCACTGGGAGKTGTGCTCTGTGATGAGGAAGCTCGTCTTGGAGACGCATCCCAGAGGAGGAGCAGCTTCTGAAAGGCGGTTCTAGGGCCAACCAGCCGTTTTTGTTCTCCTCAATGACTCAGGACATTACAGGATTTCGCAAACATGCATGAATGAGTCAAAGCAAGACTCTGTGTATGTTTTGGATGTGAGGATGACATTATAATATGATATAAAGCCAGGGCTAGAGTGTGACTAATTTGGTACCAAATGCAACCTTATTTTTTAATAGTGCACCTTAAAAATATTTACAGTCACACTGRTGCGCCCTGTTGTTCAAGGAGGAGGGAGGATGCAGTTGCCTGATGAAACAAAAAGTCTCCATGTACCGTAATCAAGCTATCTAGCAGCGTCAACACAGTGCTCTTCTCTACACCCCACGCGTGCACACACACACACACGCTTGTTCTTCTATCCTCATGGGGACGAGACCTTCCAATTCTCCCCTCCGTGAAGCAAAAACATGCGGTTGCAAGCACACACTCTAGCACGCAGTGAATCAACTGATTTTCTTTTTTCCTTTTTTTTTCAAACCAAAATTTTTTTAGTCTCAGTAGTAAAGTCCATCTTGCAGTCTGGTTCTGTTCTGCAGCAGATCACTCCAGCAGCATGAGGAAGCTCACCAGTATGGCAGGCTGCTTTTACATATAATTGGCTTCACCACAGTTAAGTTCCAGGTTCTGAAAATGGTTTTATGACTACACAGCTTAGTTTTTTTAGTGAGAGAAATGTAAAATCCCACTAATACAAATTAAATTTAAGACTTTTTCATGTTATGTTATTTTTCATCCATCCATCCATTTTCTTCCGCCTATCCGGGGTCGGGTCGCGGGGGCAGCAGCTTCAGAAGGG